TTTGCACGTTTGCAAAGCCTCTCACAACAGTCTTTAAACAACTAAGAGTTGTGTGAGGAATTGCCTCCCCTTTCATCCTGCGATCTGATTCAGCATCAAACATGTTGTGGCCCAAACCTAGCTCACTTAGGACAACCAAATCACTTCAAAGATACAGATACATTAAATGAAAACAATAAAACAGTACATACCAAACTCCCAGCAAAGCATTGGCAGCTTGCTGAGAGCCTTGTTGAAAAGGAGAACCACAACTTTGGCCTACTACATTTCAAAGTCAAGACAAAGGAAAAAGGCAGACACAGTGGAAATTACAGCCTGACGTTGGGATGTTTCGATAAACCCATCTGGATGAAATTATTATTTATCCCTTCCTACTAAATCATCCTGCTAGCTATTCTATGACCCCATAGATCTGGTAGTAATGCAGTTCACATGTGTATGTGTTGGAAGAAATATCCATCTGGTTCAGTTCCAAGCTGGGAGAAAAGGACTGGAAACAACATGGAGGCTGATTGGAAGGTAAGGTTTATTAATGAAGCAGAACCACCGGGGTTTGTGGTTCTAGTGCAGCTGACAAAATGGAGTTGAGAGTCGGTGATTTTTATACCTTCTTTGGGCTTTGTATTTGAGCTTCCTGTTCCTATGCAAGAACATGTCCTCTAATATTCTATTGGCTGTTGTCAGATTCCTATGGGGATCATGTAGGGGTTATGTAGAGGTCATAGCTGGCTCTATAGGCAAAAGAAGAAATGCAAATCCTAGGTGCTTGCCTGAATTAATTTGGTTGAAGTTTGGACTGCTCTGGGGAGGGGTGCAAGAAGGGGCTTGTGTTCTGAAAGGTAGTTGGGCAATTCCTATTGTGTCTAATGACTTTTGTGGTGTGTTGGATCTTGGGTGAAGGGGTGCTTCTAATCCTACCACTCTGCCTTTGTTAATTATGCTGCAAGGAGTTTCAAACTATCCTGTCTTGAATAGATTTCTGCCTACAGTGTTTGCTTTACTTATGAATAGAGCTATCTAGATACTCATCTTCCTCTTTCAATAAGCTCTTAAGTGCTGGCATCTGTTGTGGGCTATTAAGAAAGACTTGGGTGCTGCTTCCTGCTTCTAAAAGCATGGTTATCTATTTCTCCTTTAGGGAAATATAATATTTTTCCTTTTTAAATATTTCCCAAAATATTTCATTCTTCGGAAGTGGGGCTTCCCATATATGGAGGGAATACTTTTACCACCATAGGACAAATGGTACTTGACTTGTTCCTATTAGTCAGATGCCATGTTATATCTGTTGGTGAGCATGTCAAACATCTGTTCATTCTTTCCTGGCATAATGTTAAATGTTAACAAGTCTGCTCGGAGGGCCTGCCTTCACATTCCACTAATTGCAGCAGAAATATGCCTCATTAGCTGTGTTTCATGTCCTCAAAATGCCACCTTTGCTCATCTGTAGCCCTCACAGCAACAGCCCAATTAATCTTTAACTAGGCCACTTTTAAAATAGCATTCACTCTTCTCCCAGTACAAGCCTTGCTGTACAATCTACGATGCCTCATTGACGATGTTGGTGATGAATGGTGTACAGAGGCTGGCATTTTCCTAGCTCCCACTGACTATTTGAGGCTACTGTAGGCATGTCCCCTCTTCCCCGGGCCTTGCTCTGCAGGAACATTCTTGCTTCAGCTTTAGATTAGAGTAATAACCTGCCTGATCACCCACCGCAGTTATAATGTTGGGATGTAGGATGGACAAGATACTCAACATTCCCACCACCTCCATCATGGAGATGAACAATATATGCTTATCAGTGGTGGGATTCAAATTTTTTTTACTATCGGTTCTGTGGGCGTGGCTTGGTGGATGTGGCTTGGTGGGCATGGCAGAGGAAGGATACTGCAAAATCTCCATTCCCTCCCCACTTCAGGGAGAAGGATACTGCAAAATCCCATTCCCCCTCCACCCCACTAACCTGCTTTCCAGCTCCATTCTCCTGTGCAGGGCAACAAAAGAAGACCCAGCCGATCAGCTGGGACTTGGGAGGCAGAGAATAGATGGGGGCGGGGCCAGTCAGAGGTGGTATTTCCGCTATCGGTTCTCCAGAACTGGTCAGAACCTGCTGAATACCACCTCTGACGCTTATAATCAAAAGAGACAGATGGCCATGTGGAAGGTTCACCCACAAGAGTTAGCCCTAATCTTTAGGAGTAAATTATTAACCTAACATACTTCTGGAACTGAGGACTGTTATTCATTTAGTTCCAATTAAGCATGTCTTGGGTAACAGATCTGGTCATTTTCCTAGGACTACAGAGACACCAGAAGACCCAAAGGCCAAGAAGACGTTGAACATAGCAGTGAAAGGACAAGATGAGGAGGAGAGTGTGGGCTTGGAACAGATCTTCAAAACTCAGAATTGGCATCATCACCTAAACATCTTTTGATGCCCTTTTAGTCATATAGGAATAACCTGACTTACTACCAGTCCCTTTTTCCCCTCGGGGGGAGGGAACTCGACTGGAAATGGGACTGAGGATATAGACATACAATGGAGATATATTTTTAATGCCTTCAAGTCAGTGTTGATTCCTGGCGACTTCTGCTCAAGTCCCTGCAGTTGTCTTGGCAAAGTTTTTCAGTGCCATTGCTTCCTTCCTAGGGCTGAGAGAGTGTGACTGGCTCAAAAATCACCCAGCTGGGTTTGAGCCTAAGGTAGGATTAGAATTCAAGGCCCTCTGGTTTCTAGCCTGGTGCCTTAACCACTACTCCTTAACTAGGTGAGTTGCAAAGTTATTACTCCAAATTTGTGAAATAAACTGTTTCTCATCCAGATGCTTTTCAAATGTGTTGGATTATAGGCCCAACAAAAGTGTGTGTGTGTGTGTGTGTGTGTGTGTGTGTCTAGTTCCACACACCAGGTAGTATGGTGAGAAAAAGTAGTAAACTATTGTCCATGGTCATTTTTCTGTGGTTTAAACAGGACATACGCATGTTGCTATTTTCCATTTCTTTTGTCTCATCTTGTAGTCATACAGTTGCTGTTAATTTTAAACAGAAATGTTTTTTTTTTCTAAAACCTCTGAAAAATCCAAAAGGGAAACGTGTCTCCACTCTCCACTGACCCTTTTTCTGCATAAGGGCCTGCAAGAATTCTGGCATGGAAAACCATCTCCTTCCTGGAAAAACCATGCATGGCAAGCAGGCTTTTCTATCTAACAGACACCCAGTGAAAGCATCCCCATCACCTTCTTTGAAGAACAGGAAGCGCTGCGCACTGCTTTCCTTTTGTATGACACAGATAGATCCTTTGACTCAAGTCTCCATATACAGCTGCAAAATGTTGCTAAGATTAGCAGCATCTAAAGGCTTTGAGAGCTCATAACTACAATTATAGTATTTTTAAAAAGGTCAAATATTCCATAGTCTGTGGGCATTTCCTCACAGTCATTTTAGTGAGTTGGCAGAAAAAAACATCAGGGGTGGGATTCTACAGGTTCGCACCTATTCGCTAGAACCGGTTGTTAACATTCTAAGCAGTTTGGAGAACCGGTTGTTAGAAGAAATTACTGGCCTAATCCTGTAAGGAAGGCAGGAAGGAAACATTCTGGTGTTGCTTACAGAAACTGCCTCTCTGTTAACCCTTATTACATTCTTGGCAGGACTAAACTTCCTGTCTCAGGAACTTCTCTGGAGTTGTTTTCCCTTCCTTTGCTGGTACTTTGCTTGTGTGGAGTGACCATTCAAAGTTACAATGGCACTGAAAAAAGTTACTCATGACCATTTTTCACATTTACGGCTGTTGCAGCATCCCCACAGTCATGAGAGGCCAGGTGAGGAGAAGCATGCCTCGATGTGAGTGATATTGAGTTGGCCACGCCCAGCTAGTCACATGACCACCAATCCATGCCCACCAACTAAGCCACACTCACAGAACCAGTTGTTAAATAATTTGAATCCCACCCCTGAAAAATGTGTTGACATAATTGGCCCATCTTCAGTCTGTAAGGACAGTATCACTCCTTGGCATGTTTGCCAAGGCTCAGTGCATTTTGCTGAACCTCAGAGCCATGAGTGACAGACTGAGAAAGTCACTGCTTTAAGGTGGGGATGAAACACAAGCAAGACTCTTAAAAATAGCTAGCAATTTTGCCATGGGGAAGACAAAATAAAATCAAGGGAATAACTGCTGAGAGAGGGACATACTGTATTTGGAAATAGTTTTCTCAGAAAAATTTAAAATAGGCAAAAGAATTATGTTATCAAATATTGTAAGAATGTGAAATGGAGTTGTGTACAAATAATGAACATGTGCTTGTTAAAATATACAAACATATATTGACATTTGAAACATAACAAATGAATGTATGATAAAGAGGAATTAAAATATGGTTATAATGTACAGATGGAAGAGCAGGGAAATATGTGGTTGAAAGGACTGAAATTTGCACTATATTATAATGTTAAAGAGCACCAACCTATGTTCAACTATGTACTACTCCATGTTGTCTAACAGCACAAGCCATGGCTTCCACATAAATATTAAAAAGCAGGAGTGAAAGTGCACTTCCTTTTTCTGGTTCCTTTAAATAACGGGAAAGTAGTAGAAAATAGCAGGGGCCATGATGGCTCAGATGACAAGATGCTCTCTAGCTGACATCCTGAGTTTGAGACCCAAGCACTGTACAATGGGCCGAGCTCCCATTACTTGTTCCAGCTCCTATCCATCTAGCAGTTTGAACGCATGCAAATGAGAATAGGTAAATAGGTACCACTTTGGTAGGAAGGTAACAGTGTTCCGTGTACCTCGGTGTATAGTAATGCTAGTCACATGACCACGGAAATTGTCTTCAGATAATGCTGGTTCCTTCAGTCAAGAAATGGAGATGACTGTGCCCTAGAATAGACATGACTGACTATTTACCTTTAGTAGAAAATATACTGCAGTGGACAGCTTTTCAGTAAATAGAAAAAATAACTAGTACCCAAATATATTTTCATCATTGGTTTCAGTGGCCATGGGAGGGGGCTAGATGCAATTCCACATTCTTCTTTTTCTCTTGCAGTTCTTTCTGTCTCTGTAAACCTTTACAGCAACATTTGGGCATGTTCTTAGCTAGAGCTGCATAGATGAATGGGTGGATGCAAACATGAAAGTTAACTAGGATCTTAGCTATTTGGTAGGTGAAATAAATGGCCTTGTTTATGTTATCCTGCACACGATAGTACAAATTCACATTGCGAAAGACATGAAAGGGCAAGTAAAAAAGAGCATAAAGGAGCACAACTATAGAAACCAGTATCTTCACTTTACATTTTTCCACCCTGGTGATACCATGGCTGCGTCTAACAACACAAACAATGGCCACACAAGAAAAGAGAGTCAGGAGAAAAGGCAGCCCACAGCCCACAGCTAGGAGGAACCAGCTGTATGGCAGATAAGCAGGCAGTTCTGATACAGAAGCACTGCCCAGGCAAACGGTTACATTGCCTTTAGATTCCACGTTGGAGAAATGGAGGACAGGGGCTGAGATGGCTATCGCGACCAACCACACCGCCCCACTGACAACTTTGGCATGGAAGGTTTCGATGCGCTCGTGGGCAAAGAAGGGATGGACGATGGCAACGTAGCGGTTCAGGCTGATGCAAGCAATGAAAAAGGTGCTGCCGTACAAGTTGACAAAAAAGGCAAAACGATCCAGTTTGCAAAAAGGGGAGCCGTACTTCCAGTTCTTGGGGGGGGAGTAGTAAACAGCCAAGGGCAACAAGGAGATGGTATAGAACAGGTCACAGAGTGCCAGGTTGAAGGAGAAGATGATGCCGGCATGCCAGGTGCGTTCCCAAGCCACAAAGTGGTAGATTGTAAAGCCATTCCCCAAAACAGCGAAAAAGAACTGCAGGACTATGATGATCCACAGTTTTTCTTGGAAGTAGTCGAGGTCTCTCCTGCTTGGGTCCTCAGTCTTCATCCTGGACAAAGCAGGATGAATGAGATGGGAGGCTTCCAAGACCACCTGTTGACTACAGACAGAGAACATGAAGGAGCATATTATCAGAAATACTGACACCTATCACTTCAACCAGTGGTGTATTAACCATTAAGTAGACTAAGCACGTGCTTAGGGCACCAGGCCCAAAGGGGGCACCGCAAAGTTGAGAATATGGCTTCATTTGTACAATATGTACAAAGGAGGGAGGGCAGGAGCACCAAGATTTGTCAGTGCTTAGGGCACCAGTGAGCCTTAATCCTCCACTGACTTCAATTGCAGCTCTCTTAAAAAATAAGTTACTCCCTTCAGCATTTTTCTTAAAAAATAAGTTACTCCCTTTATTTTTCTTTATTTTTTTATTTTTTTTTTCTTAAAAAATAAGTTACTCCCTTCAGCATTCCTGCCTTGATTGCAGGAAATATGACTTCAGCAATAGAGTGGTCAATGTCTGGAATACTCTACCCGACTCTGTAGTTTCTTCCACAAGCCCCAAAAACTTTAACCTTAGACTGTCTACTATTGACCTCACCCCTTTCCTAAGAGGTCTCTAGGGGGCGTGCATAAGCGCACCAATGTGCCTACCGTCCCTGTCCTATTGTTTCTTTTATTTTTCTTATATTTACCCATTTCATGTATTCATAACTATGTATACACTTATACTTATTATCTTGTAAACAATTGACAAATCAAATCAAATCAAATAAATAAATAAATAAATAAATAAATAAATAATTTTTCCCCCTCCCTTGGAATAGATGCTTACTTAATAAACAGAATTTCCAGTACGTCTATATGATTACGACGGTTATATAAAAATATGGAAAATGGAAGGAGAGAAAAATCACCAAACTCTCATATACAATCAGAACTAGTTTTGCCTAGGTATCCATGATTTGCTATGCAAATTAATATATACAGTAAATTAGTTTGTTGACCACTAGAAAAAAATGTGAAATTCAATATCTAAACAATAGATATTGGAAATATGAAATAATCCTCCACCTTGGACTTCTACAGGTAGAATCCTTCTTTAGGCCCAAGAAACCAAGTTTTTAGGTTGTTGTGTAATAGATTAATAGGGTCTATTTGGGGAATAGGGAATATTCATTATTAGTATCTTCTAGTTCAGCGGTGGGCCGCGTCAAAATTTTGGTGGGCTGCAGAGAAATCTCACCCCCAAAGCAATTAATCCAGACTGCACAGAAACACAAGGCTGCACCACCCATATGGCCCACAGAAACCCTCCCTGCCCACTCACTCCTTACTCAAACTTGCCTGCTAAAATTGCTATTTTTCCTTTTTCTGACCATCCTCTGTTCTGCTGTGCTGGGAGATTTGCATTAGCTAGAAAGCAGGAATTGGTTGGATTTCTTGCTTTCTAGCTAGTCTTTAGATCTTTGGCTCTGCTTTTAAGCACAGCTGAACCTCCCTTAGGACTGAAGGTTCTGTTATTCAGTGCAGACTCACGGCAAGCAAATTTGAGAGACTGAACTAGCCAATGGCAGATAGATAGATCACTGAATGATTCTGTGAGCAACTCAATCTGATTGCCTGCTTTGCCTGATTTTGGGTAAAAGTTGCTCTTTTTTAATAAAAAATTCAATATTTACATACATGGTGTATTGTGAGTTAATTTTGTGGGTTTGCTTGCAAGCAAATTTTATGTGACAGATTGAACTAACCAATGGCAGATAGATAGATCTCTGAATGAATCTGTGATTCTGTGAGCAACTCAATCTGCCTGCCTGCTTTGCCTGATTTTGGGTAAAAGTTGCTCTTTTAAAAAAAATAATTCAATATTTATATAAATATTTATAATATTTACATACAAACCATGCCCAGCCAGTCACATGACCACCAAGCCACACCCTCAAATTAGGCCATGCCCACAGAACCAGTTAGTGGTCCCTGGGATTTAAAAGTATGAGTTTGGTCCAAAAGGTTGGCGACCCCTGTTCTAGTTGGTTTCCAGAGTAAATTTTTAAAATGCATTTCCAAAAACAAATGAGTCCTCCATTACAAATTAATTGGGGAATAACTTTTGCTTCGATGTACAATTCAGACCTTCTGTAGAATTTCTGTAGCTAAGTGACACAATTGTAAATTATGATATCACTTGACCATGACACTTACCAGCGGCAGTTCTGGAAGTCCCTGGTTACTGGCCTTAAGGGAGGACCATGCAGGGTGTCAAGTGAGAACTTCATATGTTTGCAGCTTCCAACTTCCTGCTGGTTCTTCATTGACTTTGTTTGTGAGAAGCCAGCAGGGAAGGTCACAAAACAAAATTGTGTGACCATGGGACCATGGGATGCTGCAAAGATTGAAAATCTGGCTGGCTTGCTGAGCACGTAGATCATGATCATAGGACAATGGGAGTGCTTCGCCAGCTGGGACTTTGAGGAGTCGTCAAGAGTACCATTATGTTCAGTGCTGTTGCAAGTCTGAACGGTTGCTGAAGGTGGTGTAAGCTGTTAAAGCACAAGAGCCAAGCCTAACTCTACACCAGGGGTGTCAAACTCAAGTGCTGCGGGGCAGATCCAGGTGTTTAGATCTGGCCCTTGCTGTGCTGCAGGAGGCCGGCCGGCCCATCTCCTCCTTCCCTCCGCCCTCCCTCCCCCCCCACAAGCTGGCCTTTGGAGGACAATGCTGATCTGGCCCTCAAAAAATCCAGTTTGACATCCCTGTTCTACACTTATCACATCTCCAACCATTAACTGAACTGATCCGTTTCTTCCAGAAAAAAAAGTATAATCCAAGAGACATAAAACATTTTTTTTATTGTAAATCGTATGCAATTGGCATGCCTCTATGGAAATATATACATGCTAAAGTAATCCTCCATCAATGTTCATGAAATACAAATTCCAATTATTATTCGGTGCCTCCCTAAACTTTCAAACATATAATTTAGTGTATTTTAACAATCATTTATAAATAATGAAAGGCTTTTTATTTCACACAGAATATGCTAAATATTTTAGTTGTTGCAGCATTCTAAGACATACAGGATTCTTGGCCTTTAGCCTAAAAGTGCTTTAGCTGAACAAAATAAGTGGTTTTCCCTTGCTGAGAGTGAGTGACTGCTCCAAGATTGCCAGGTTGGCTTTGAGACAAAGGCAGGGTTAGAAGTCATGATTTCTCTATTTCTAGCCTAGTGCCTTTTACTACTACAAATTTATTACAAATAACAAAAAAAATATCAATATGTCAGTATTCACAGGTCTCAAATAGGCATTCCATACACTGCTTGAGTTCCACAAGGTAACCAAATGCCCCAATAAGAGCTATTTAGAAATTTGGAAAAGATACTCTCCTCCTTATCTTACAGCTTATTGTTCCATTTTTAAATTGGTCTTGTAGAGAGAAAAATATTATTATCCCTAATGCTTGCTTTGCTCAACTTTAAAGGCTTATTCCAATAATTTTAAAATAGTTCATTCAATACAGACTGTTTCTGGTGTGTGTTTCTAAAATTGGCCATTCATCCCCGATCACAAACAATTTATTAATAAACTCTTAACTCCCCCCTGCATCTACTGTATTCACAAGCAATTATTCTGCTTACTAGTTTCATCAAAGCACCTCTCTTATCTTTTTTTCACATTTGATCTTCTATTCTGATGTTTTGGACATCTACTTGTATTCTTTTTGAACTTTAGCATAATGAGAATGTAGTTTTCTTTGAAATTACCCAAAATTTGTTATTTCTTTTCTGGTTAGAAGCACGTTCTGGATCTTAGCTTAGCCAAAAACTGTATTTGGCACTTTTGTTTAATAGTTTTAATACATTAACGCATCTAATATATTATAGCTTTTGTGTTGGGGCAGTTAGTTTAAATTTGACTTATGTTCACTAAAACCATTTCAATATTGATTTGTTATGTTTAGTTTGTCTTTGTCATTGAACCAAAGTATTTGATTATTTCCATTTTCCCTTGAATTTATGCAAATAGTTCTGTCTGATGATACTTTTTGCAAACAATGTATTCTATTGAAATTGTAGTTGGAAAATTTCTTTTTTATTATTATTATAAAAATTTTATTTGGGTTTTCACAAAACATAATACAAGTAAAGTTTCTTTTTTTGAGAACAGCATGGTCCCGGGTTATCACTTCTCCATACAGACACAAATTCAATTTCATATTCATCTTTGTGTTCTATTCCATATCTTATTACTATTTTAACATTTTCTCAATAATTTTTCCCTTCCCTTAGTTTTCTCAATCTTACTTTTAATTATCTCATTCCTTCCTAAATTCAATTATATATATCTTTTTCTAAGTTTCAATATCTTTCTAGTCATTATATTTATACTTTTGTCTGTCCTGTTTCAATTTCATATTTTCTTTTCTCATTAAACAAAATTTTTCCCTGTAGTTACTAATTGGAGTATGACACCTTTGTATCTTTTAATTTTTATCCATTCAGCTCTTATTTAAACTTCAATTTATGCCTTTACAATTATAACATTCAATATAACACATAACTTCCAGTCGAATTCTGCTTGGTACATTCTTAAAATATGCACTAAGTTCTTAAAAAGAAAATATATACATAACAATAATAAATAAAATACTTATTCTATTCCAATTCAGCTCTATCATTAATGTTAGTTATAATCTTTGACATCTTTAACATTTCTTTTCAGTAGGATATCATACTTCTAGAGAGACTTATAATATTTCCATAATTTTTTCATGTTTCTTTCATATTCCTCTTCACTTAAATTTTTATGACACATTTATAATAATTAAAATGTTCCCCTCCTTTCCTAATTTCATTCTCTCATTCTCTTTATTTCATTCATTTATTAAACATTCCATTCCATTACAATGAGTATTTTATCTATCATTTTAATCACACTTGTTTCATATTTTCAAAGTTCATTTCTATTTCTAATATAACAATACTATCTTATGTACCCTTGCAGAATCCCCCTTTCAATTAAATTTTCACCCATTATCTCTGTGTCTTGTACGTTTTCCCTGTTTCTCTATGTCCTGTTTCTGTCCTTTATAATTTCTTTTCCTTTCCCTGTTCTCCCTCTTCTTCTCCCTTCCCTTTTTGACCCCTTCTCTCTCTAATTCTGATTCTCTCTTCTGTAATCCTCTCTTCTGTTTCTTCCTAATGTTGTACTTACTTTTCAAACTATTCTTTTTTTTAGTTGTTTTTTCAGATCTTAAATTTTTCACTCTCTTTCCCCCCTTCTCTTTCTTTTCCCCACATAGATATACTTGGTCATTGAAGATGGCTTCTTCTTTGTCCCACCCTTCTTGTTCTACAGGCATTTCTTGTTGTTTCTCATAGTTCAGGATCTCCATTTCTAAAAATTGAAATATGAAGCCAAAAGAACCTCTTCCTTCTTGTGCATCTTCTTTCTGTTTTTTAAGTTCCATTCTCAATTCTTCCAAGAATGATACCATTTTAAAAACTTTTAAACAACCACCCGATTAATTTTAGTCCTTTAAATCCAATAGTTAACAAGGTAGATATACCCTGGATGATTCTATGCAATCCTGAATCTTTTCCTTATCCAGTTCAGGACTGCACAAGCTTTTATTGTGGGTCCCTCTTTTGAAAATGTATTGTCTCCTCCCTGGCAAGCCGCTGTGCAATTGCCTTCTTCTCCAACTGCACATTCCATTACATCATACTTACAAATACCCCAAATGGCCAGACTTCTCCCCCCACCCCCAAAAAATAATAATTTCCAAGCTATTCCACCTTCAAAGACTCACTTTGCAGCATTGGCAAGGAGCAATCAAATCAAGGAACGAAGGAAACCTAGGAAATAGAGGGCACATTGACTAACACAATTCAGAAAGCTTTTTGAGACTTTGGGAAAAATGCAGAGAAGAAGAACAAAGCTGATGAGGGGGTCTGGAGACTAAAACATATGACGAACAGTTGCAGGAATTGGTTATGGTTAGTCTGGTAAAAAGAAGGATCAGATGATAGCAGTGTTCCAATATTTGAAAGGCTGCCACAAAGAATTTTCCAAAGCACCAGAAGACAGGACAAAAAGCAATGAATGGAAACTAATCAAAGAGAGGAGCAACCCAGAACTAAGAAGAAATGTCCTGACAGCGAGAACAATCAACAGGTGGAACAACTTGCCTTTTACTGGAGATCAAGTGGTAGCAACAAAAGAATTCTGAATCTGAGAAAATAGGCGCGCAAATCACATATACAAAATAATGGCAATGTTCCCACCCCCAATAGTTCAAATGCTTCTTCCAATTAAAAGTTGTGAATATCATCATGTGGACATCTCCAGGTGGTGATGAGGCTTCTGTCCGTTGACCTTGGCATACTTTGATAAAGGTTTGCAGCTGCGCATAGCATCAAAAGCTAAGCAAGGAATAGAAACCTAAGCAAGAATGTACTCTCCCCCCCACCACCCAGTTTATACAGTTCTAGTTTGTAACACCTCCAAGCTCACTTCCCATACTTTCCCCCCCTCCTCCCACCGTTACTTATGACAGCCGAAAGATGCAAAGCAATGGGGGGAAATCTTGAAGGCTGACATTGTGGGTGCTCCATCACTGAAGGCTTTCAAAAAGAGACTGGACAGACACCTGTCTGAAATGGTGTAGGGTCCCCTACTTGAGCAGGGGATTGGATTAGTATACCTCTAAAGTCCCTTCCAATTCTGACCTTCTGAAAACTTTTGTTTGTAGTATCTTGGGTATATCATCTGATTACAAAGCTTAAGCAGTCGAGACAGACTTCCTGCATTACTCTGAAATAGGCAGCATTACATCCGTGGTCTCCGACTTGCCCTCTTTTTTTTTTTGTAAAACTACAGTTCTCATCATCTCTAGGCAATATTGTTGGAAATAGTGGGGGATGTAGACAAATACATCTGGAGAACACTAAGGTAAAGAGTAGCTATTTAAATAGTATCACAATATACCTACCTAATCCAGCTTCCAGTCGATTCCATATAGAAGGGAGTCAGTCATATCTTCCCTTACTGCAAAGAAGTTGTGAAGTCTCTATTCAAAATGTGGTAGTGTGTTGTCATGTAGATTCTGAAACTGCACATGAGGAAGTAGATGAATCATGATTAAATAAAAGAACCTGTGTTACACAATGGAAAGGCCTTTTATGGCTTTTTTGCATGTGGCAATATGCTAAAAAAAGGACAAGCATACAAGACAGAATGGGCTGACAGTCTAACAAGGAGTAAAATCCCAGAGCTGAAAAAGGATTGACTTTTTCTGAAATCCTAACTGTTCATAATTTTAAGCTCCATTGATAATTTAGGAGACTGTGAGATAAGAATTAAGCTACTGATAAATATGATTAAGAAGCAGCTAACTTAGCTCCAAGATCTTCGATGTCATTCCATATCACACTTTTGAATACAGCTACAAAAAGCAGGGTTTTAAAAAAATAATTGAGGAGAGAAGAAAGTCTTGTGGACATCTGTTAACAAAGGTTTATTGCATTTAGTCAAGTAAGACTTGAGAGGCATTTTTGGCTTTTTAAAAAAAGCCCCACTAAAACGCTATTTGAAATTATAGAATTCTGAAAGGATACTTTAGCTGATTTAATCCCCAAATTCAGCCCATCTCAAAAAACCAGAGATAAGCAGAGGTCTTATTTTGACTCAGTTCCACCACCAATATTAAGTCATTTTTGAATAGACCGCAGCAATCATCAGGCAAAACAGAAATGTGGTACTTGGTGTGAAAACAGTTACAGCAATGGAAAAAGTTGGTTTTGACCCTAACCACATCCAGAATTCGAATGAACTTTAAAGTTGATTGGAGTCTTGCCAGAGAATAGAATAAAATAATCAGTTCAAAGAACCCCATGTTGTGTATGTGTGCTGCCTAGGTTTGCAACTAGTGGGATTTAAACATCTGTGTTTATGATAAGGATGTTAGGATTCAAAATTCAGAGTCATGGCAATCTCTGGATTTTTTTTATTTTACAATTATATCACATTGCTTACAAGTGATTGCTAATAATTCTTGTTAGGGGATAGTGTCGTGTCGTTCATTTTATTGATTCTATTTTTTATTGTTCAATGACTAAAATAAGGAACTGTCAGTCATTGTTTTAAAACATGTTGAAAGCAACCAGGGCTGTCTTAATGCATGGGCCTGATGGCCCCTTGCCCATGGGCTCCAAAAGTATAGGGGCCTCATACTAATCTGTGTATGTTAACCCTTCGATGCACCTTATATCATATAAATACAGCAACATATTTATCACATTTTACTGCATTTTTATTTAATACTAACATGCAAATATGTTTATCGACCATTTACATTTTTATTCCTGTGAGTAGTTGTTGTAGGGACCCCTGTACACTGCTTTGCCCAGCCTTTGAAAGCAACATGTTCTATATCTCAGAAATTGTAATCATTTTTTCTAATAGTAAAATATTTATCATGTATTTTTTCATAAATTTGATGTATTGGGTTTGATTTTTTAAAAAAATGTAGTTCTAGAAAACTGCATTCTATAGGTATTTCAATCTTTATTAATCAAGGGTTGATTTACTAACTTAAACTGTCTTAAAATTCAATCTAAAAGCTGTTATTACATCAGATGTCAAATTGCCATATCAAAACCATAAAGTTTTATAATGCTAGAGGGCCAATTTGGTGTGGCGGTTCAGGGATCTGGCTATAAACCAGGCAATTGTGAGCTCTAGTCCCACCTTAGGCACAAAGGCAACTGAATGGCTTTGGATCACTCTCTCTCTCTCTCTCAGCCTAGGAAAGAGGAAATGGTAAACCACTTCCAAAATCTTGCTAAGAAAACTGTAGTAGGATCTTTGTCCAGTCACCACTGATCACAAAATAAAATCCTTGTACAGTTAGTGCTCAATTTATGACAATTGAGCCCAGAATTTCTGTTGCTAAGATAGTTGGGTTTTTTTCCTCCTTTTACCACTTTCCTTGCCACAGTTGTTAGATAAATCATGCAGCTGTTAAGTTAGGAACACAGTTATAAAGTGAACCTGGTTTCCCCATTGACTTTGCCTCCCAGGTCGCAAAATGTGATCACATGACCGCAGAACACACCATCACTCATAAATAGGAGCCAGTTGCCTAGCATCCGAATTTTGATCAAGTGTTCATGGGGATGCTGCCCGTCATAAATGTGAAAAAGAGTCATACGTCACTTTTTTCAGTGCCATCAAAGCTTCAGTCACTAAACAAATGGCTGCAAGTCAAGGATCACCTGTATTTACTTCCACAGATGGAATTATGTAGAGCCCCTGAATACAACTAGGATATATTTTTGCAAACCTGCCCCTACATTTTGGATGAATTAAGAATTTAACCAGGGATAATTTTACAAATTATTCTCTGAAGAGCTGCAGCTGCCCACAAAGAAGCCAAATATATTTGGTATCCTTTGAAAACCTTTGTGGGAGAACCAGGAATTTAAAAGTGGAGAGTATTATTGCTAAAGAAAAGAATCCTGCTGATTAAAATCGGCAGGGATAGGTATATCCATTTTTGCCACCTTGGTTGTACATTATTAAACAAAAACTATTTTCTTAGAAACCTGCTACATTGCAGCAGAGAAATTTTAACCCTCAAAAGAAATGGCCACCTGTTCCTTATTTTATCTTCTTCCAAAGTGCTCAAGTCCTCTTAAAAAAAGGTTTTATTTAACTGCTCTTTTCTTTTCTGGCACTTCCAATCAATCCCACATCAAAGCACATACAAGTCCAACCCAAAAAGAAGAGGAGGCAGATTATGGAAGTCAATATATATTTTATAAAACAGCCAGTACATCACATAAAGACTACGCAAGAAGCTCAGGACATTATGCTGACTTTTGCCCTTTTGAATGCCTTGCTTTTCGGAAAGTGCTTCTTCCTTTGAAGGCCTGCTTCTGCCCCAGTCTAGATTTTCCTTGCCATCGTGATCCCGGAGGCCTAAAGCCAGCCTGTCTTTTGCCTCTTGGCTGTCCTGCAGCCTGGGGTTGCTTCTGCTGCAGGTTCTGTGGCTTCCTGTGCGGCCTTGTATTTCTCCGCTGCTGCTGCTGGCTCAGCTTCCCCCGGCAGTGTTGAGAAGTGCCTCTTCGTGGCTGCCTCTGTTGCCTACCAGGCTGTGAAGCCTTCTTGTGCTTCGTGGTGGTTTTGCCCGCTGTACGCTCTTGACTCTGACCTTGCACTGAACGCACGTATTTGCCCTTTTTCTTGGGCGTGGTGGATTGGCTGAGCCTTCGTCTCCTCTTTGTGCTTTGTGGGAACAAGTCTAGAAACAGTGGAGCACAATAAAAGCAGCAGTTTAAGAAGAGTCGTTTTTATACTCGGCACTTACTTTTTAAAAGAATGATCTTATAAGGCAGTAACGACAATTTAGATCATAGGGTTTTCAAGTAGGAAGTCACAGCCCACGCAGAAAGAAAAACAGCCTCAGAAA